TCTTGACCTCGTGATCCACCCGCCTCGGCCTCCCAAAGTGCTGGGATTACAGGCGTGAGCCACTGCGCCCGGCCGACTAATTCTTATATTTTTAGTAGAGATGGGGTTTCACCATGTTGGTCAGGATGGCTTCAATCTCTTGATCTTAGGCATGAGCCACTGCACCCAGCCATTATTGGAATTTTTTAATCTTCTTGGTTCTGCTATTAATTACAGTCAGAAGGCACTGCCTGGCAGTGCCTTTGTCCTAGGTACGTGTTTCCTGATTTCCGACTGGTTTATAGATTAAAATATGTGACAAGTCACTTCGTTCGGTTATCTCACAAATTCTCAGAAAGTAGCATGGTTTAAAACTAGATGTTTTGGCCGGGTCAGAGGCTCACACCTGTAATCCTAACACTAAGAAGCCAAGGCAGGTGGATCATGAGGTCAGGAGTTTGAGACCATTCTGACCAAGATGGTGAAACCCTGTCTCTACAAAAATTAGCTGGATGTGGTGGTGGGTGCCTGTAATCCCAGCTACTCAGGAGGCTGAGGCAGGAGAATCAGTCACTTGAACCCAGGAGGCGGAGGCTGCAGTGAGCCAAGGCGAGATCGCACCATTGCACGAGACTCCATCTGAAAAAAAAAAAGAAAAAAAAAAAAAACCCCAAAATTAGATGTTTTGTTGGGTTGTTTTCTTATGGCTTGAATGGCTGTTGGTTTAACCGGTTTTGTTAAAAGATTGTGCTTTGGAAATAAAAATATGGAACTTGATTGGCCATTTTAAAATTTTCTCATCATTAGACTAGGTCCAAATGCATTATCAAAAGAAAAGATTTGGCACTGCTTTCAGGCTTCCCTCAACTACCCTGGGTGGCAAGATGGCCTCCACCCAGGGAGGTTTCTCTGTTTTTATAAAGTCCAACCTACCTAGCTTCACTATTGATTAAGATATTTGGGTCATTATTTATTTGATAATATAGATGAGCTGGGAAACATAATGTCAGTATCTTTCATTGCTTAGTACCTTTCCAAACCTCAGCTAAAAGAAGTGGTATTCAAGAAGCATTGCATGAGGGATGTACCAGTCAGTCCCCCCATTCTTCTGGGTCAATGGTTCTTTGATGGAACACTGAAGTCAACCGGGAAGCTAAGAAACACGTATGCCAGGGTCTCCCTCCCAAGAATTCTAATTTAATTGACCTAGGGCATCCAGACAGTGTAAAAGACTCTGGTGAAACTTGAGAATTAGCTTGACTGAAGAGCATTAAAAAAAGTAGAGACCCCACTTTTTGGGGGATAATCTAAATGTGATTATTCCAGGGTAGGACTCGGGCATCAGGAACTTTTAAAAAATGTGCTAGTCATATCAGTGTACAGACAAGGTTTAATATGATTGCTTAAAAAGAAAAAAAATCTGTACCTGGTAGGTTTTTGTTTACTTGTATGTAGATTTTTTGCTTTTATTTGGAATGTAGCATATGAATCCCAGTTGCCTTCGTTGAAATGTGCTTTGGTAAGAGACTGTCATTCTGTGTTGAGAGAACGGGGAGAAACAATTCCACAGAACTTGTTTCTGTGACTACTGAAAAGATGTTCATTATATTACTCTATCCTCTTTATGAGGACCCTTGGGAGCAATTTGTCGGTTAGCATTAGAAATGGTGAGCACTGGTAAAGTGTGTGGAAACAGACTGAGGTCCTCATCAGAAGCAAATGCTCGCACCATGCTTCTTGGAGAGCCTGCAGAACTGTAACCAAATAACCTCTTTTCTTTATAAATTACTCAGCCTCAGATGTCCCTTCATGGCAACACAAAAGGTCTAAGACATTATCGTAAGGTTTTTAGACATCTTACACTATGTATAAGACGTGGTGAAATACTAATTAGAAGCACAGACAGTCCGTGATTACAGTGGTTTGACTTACAGTTTTTCAACTTTACAGTGAGTTCATTAGGATGATTAAATGCATTTTTGACTTAAAAAAAATGGTGTGCTTCTCCTGAACAATTGGCTTGCTTTTGTCTTTGAACTAGTCTAGCTGATCAAGTTTCTTTCTTTACTTAAAAGGAAGCTGGATGCCAAATCTGCGGCCCACCTATAGTAAGCCTAAAGATCTTCATGATATACATAGTTTAGTACCCGTGTTACTACATCCATTTTTTTTTGTCCCTACGTTTGTTTGCTTTTGTGTTTGTTACCTACTTTGAATTGGTTGTTTTAGTATATTTTAATTTTTGCTGTAGCTACTTTGTTACCTCTTGAAGTTGGGGTATACATAAAATAAATAAAATTATCAAGTTAGTTTTTGCTACTACCCAGGAAGCTGAAGAGCAGGAATGAGAACGAGAGTGTGTATTGGAGGTGGACACTATTGTATGAACCAGACATGTCGTCCATGCTTGAAAATCTGAAAACTTGCACTCCAGACTTGACGTAACCTCGATTCCAGCCTCCTAGGTAACAGGGAAGGTCCTCTCTTGGTTAATGTGCCTGACAGGTTTCTCGGTGAGGCTGAATGGCCCTGCGGACCTTTGTGTTGGGCCCTGTGCTGGACACTGGAACTACGAGGATGGATAATTCAATCTTGGCTTTAAAGGAATTTTCAGTGTGATAAAGGAGACAGGCAACAGATATCAATTAAGGGAATATGCTGGGTGCACTGGAGCATAAAGGAGGTGTTTCCAAGTGTCCAAAATGGAAATCAGCTTTCCACCTGTTTTTCTGTCTTGGTTTTAGTTTTAGTCAAGGAGTATCTCCATTACTAGGCTCAAAAATCAGAGTAGTCTTTTTTTTATTGTTGTT